AAGGAAAAACCTCATTTAGACTTTGAATAATAAAGAAATACATTTGTAGAGTTTCTTTCAAAGTTGCAATTTCATCGAGACGGTTATAGCAATTTTAAACCTATAAAATTTGTTCAAATTGAATAGTTATTTGGTGGCTTGGGACTGTTAGCCGGCAGTTATGGGCCAAATGGGGGAACACTTGACAATCTTGACCGTCCATGAAGCCATAACTCATCGAAACCGTACCCCTGTCATCTCATGTGTCTATTTCCAACAGTGAGCACTCTCTCTTCCCATTCCGTCCATAATTTATCTAAGCGAAGCATCTGAGAGGAGCACGCGTGCTATGCTCCCGCGGGAGCATACTATACTTCCACTCTCTAGGCCACCTACTTCAGGAAAAAGTTTATATAAGGATGCCACCTTATATGTAGAACTACGGATGCCCCTCAAAAATCCATCGGAAAAGGTAGTTTTAATGTGGAAAAACCTTTCGATTGATCATCTCGACATCGAGATGTATGAATATGAAAAATAAAAAGATTTTAAGTCTCATAAATAGTGCCTTTTACAACATATTATCTACACCGTCCATTTTCAAGATTTTCATATGTTTAAAGATCTACTTGACTTTAACTATTTTTTAAATTTAAAATTTTATAATTAAATATAAAAATAGATTTTGAGACATCAAAATTATATACCATGATAAACTTTGAAGGTGCACCTTACCTCTACAGCTACGGAGACATCCGTATGCAAACTACACCCTTCTTTCAATCCGAAAATATTACGTCCACCTAAAAATCTAAATGATCATTTTCAAATGAGAAATTTTGAATTTTAAGCTTTCCAATGTTTTCGTTGTCACAAATTTGACGGTCTTTGTTCATGAGAAATCTTTTTCTTTTTAAGTGTATAAAGAAGCTCCATGCAATTGTTTTTTTCTGAGGTTAGTCTATGAGTCTTAAAGGTTATATCTCAAATTTTTAAGGACCTAAAATTACCCCATAATTGGGTTTACCAAAGGGAGTATATAGTTAATATACGTGAAAGGAAACTATATATTCTCTACTTGTTAGATATGTGATGTTGTATTTTATGGTAAGTCTGGGGTAGAGGTCTTTATAATTTTTTTTTTTTTGTCAATTGTATTTGTTTATATAAAACAATTTTGTACACTTATTTGAAATCATATGAAATCATTTGACCAAAATATATATATATATATATATATATATATAAAAGAGGCATCTCAAGCGAAGGCGCAACATTTCCCAAGTTTCGACGAGAAGGGTGCTTTTTGCAGATCTTTGTCTAGTATGCTCCCGCAGCATCATATTATACATTTATTCTCTCATGTAAAAGAATTACTTAGGGGATTTGTTTATCTACAATTTTGGTATCCAAGGAGGAATTAATTAATATATGATTATTTGGAAAGAAAATTGGATTTTACGTTTTTCTATGCTTAGTTCTTACTGTATGTTAATTTTTTTCAAGGCTCATGAACAAGGTACTGTGGGCATAAATTTAAGGGAAATTCATCAAAACATGTGTAACTTTTGAACAATCCAGCACTTTACACATTTTCAACTATATTCCAACTCAATAGGTATTTTGAAATTTTTTTTTTGAAAAACGACATCGGTAAAGTTTTAAATATTCGGTCTGCAATATGTATTTTGTTGAACTCCACCAACTTTAATTGTTCATATAGTTCTTATTGTTCTCTTTTGTTGTGCTTAACTGATTATGCAACAAGAAGTTAGTAACATTTCAAAAAAAAGTAATGATGTACATAGAGAGTGTAACTTGAATATCTTTTGAAAAATTATCCAATTACCTATGCGAGATGAACAATATAACACTTCATTTATAAATATTTATTTTAGTTAAAAACAACTATAAAAAATGAACAAAGTGTACACAGAGCCGAGGCTCTAAACAACTAAATTAGAACCCAAATCAAAATTTTTACTAGAAAAAATTGTTTTGATGCCCAAATATCACCAAATTAATCATCTCGACACAAGATGCATGGACAAAAGAAAAAAATGGATTTCAGGTTTTCGAAGTAGTGCTTCTTGTAATGCAAATTTGGACCGTCAATTTTTGAGATTTTCAAGATTTCATAGATCTACTTGATATATACTATTTTTTAATCTTTAAATTTTATAATTAAAGATGAAAATATATTTTAAGGCTATTACAAAGATTTATAATATTGAAACTACATTTCTCGACACTATTTGAAAGTGTGTTTGACTTTGATTGTTTAGAGCCTCAGCTCTATACAAACCGTGCCCATAAAAATTACATGATCTTATGTTTATATTAGAATAGTATCAAACGGTAAAATATTAAATAGTCTTATAGTTATTTTAATAAAAAAGATATACAATGAGACATTGTATTGCATAAGACGGTCATAATTATTTATAACCATCCAATGTTTAATTTTATAGCTTGAAGTTGGGGATAGTATTGTCAGGCCTATGATGAGGAGGTCTCTTCCTCCATTTTCACCAAAAAAAGGTAGGAGCCCAAATCTGCACTGCACTGCACTTTCTAAGCTTCCATTCTCACCTAAAACATTCAAAAAACCGATTTAAAAATGAGTAAAGGCGAGTCATCCCCACTAAATCACCCAAAAAACGAAGAAAGTCTATCACTCAGCATAAGAGGCATGGAATCCCAAAACTACAAGTACTCTCTCGTGGTTTCTACCGAGGGATCAAACGAACACATGGTCCCTCACGATCAAGAAGTCATTCGTTGTTGTTGTTCCAAACTCTCAAGGAAATCAACGCATTTCTCCACTCCTAGGAGCTTTAAACTCAGAAATATACCCAGCCTTCCTCCTGGTTTCATCTCATTCCACTTGATTTTTAGGCAAAATAATGATCCCTTTGGTCTCCCTTCAGCACAAGGTATCGTTTCTTGTTCTTTTCATTTTCCTTGTTCTTTTATATGCTTTTTCCCTTTAATTATAATTTACTTATATGGGGCCTTTTAACTTATATGAGGCTTCGATTGCTTAAGATCGGTAAAGACTGATGTTTGTGTTTATTCAGCTTGATAATTAGAAGGGTTTGTGTTGCTTAGGTTTAGTTTAAAGTCCTTGATGTGGTTTGGGGTTGAAGTTTTTCAGTTGGTTACTTTTTAGAGTTTTTCAGCTGGTTATTTTTAGGGTTTTGGTTGCTTATGTGTTTGATTAAAGTTTTGTTTCCAGGGTTTTGCAGCTGCCCACAAAGAGAATTGATTGAAGCCTCACAAGTACAGTGTTTAATATCAGAGGCTTCTATGATGAATGATGCAGGTAGTGTAATAGGGGAGTACAAATGGTGAAAAGTGAGGAAGATGGCTCTAATCATTTGGATTAGCAAGATTTTTAAATGCGTAATGCTTGAAATTTGGGTGTTGAAGTAAATATACAAGCGGGTATATGCGGGATGCGGAAATCTAAGATCTCATAAAATTTTAGATATTTGAAACATTATAAACTTCATTTTTTGATGTTGTTACTTGGGTGACATTGTTCTTTATTGTATGAGTATAAACTTTTACACATTTGAAACAATTATTTGGGTGACATTGTTTCATTATTTTACGAGATCTACCGGCTTTATGTAAAGGGAAGTACCTATTTCTTATCAAAATCACTTTTATTAATTATTATGAAATTGTTGTGAGATATCTCAATATACATGTTATGTTAAATTGAATTTTTACATCCTTGTACAATGTAAAAGGAAGTGCTTCTCTATCCTAAAAATGAAGTGTATCTTTCAAAGTGAATTTAATATCTGTCCTACAAACTTTAAGTAGATGAATTATACATGTGGTCATTTCAATCTTCAAAATGAACTCACATATATTGTAGCTCTCCTTTTACCAGGTACTGAGAGATTTAACATATGTATGAAGAGTTTTATTGTATTTGTAAGTAGAGCTCGCACATATTGTAGCTAGCCTTTTTAACATGTTGTGAGAGATTTAACATATATTGGGAGTGTTTTACTGTATTTGTAAGTAGCCTTTTGGCATGTATTGAAAGATTTAAGATATGGTGAAAAAGTTGTATGGTATTTATGTCGTCGATGTATTACATGAACATTTGAGTTAGTCATTTAATAGGAGACTGGATGTTTGTAGCAGGATTGGACATTTGTAACTACTTGTTGAGTCTCAAAACCCTTTATTAAAACCATTTGTTATAAGTTTCTATATCCACCTATGGAGAGCTTAGACTATGATTCCAATGTATGAATGTATCTAAGTATATGAAATGAATGTAGTAATGACTAAGGAGCATGAATTGTTTTGTGCACAATTTGCAAACTGATCACACTTTTTACATCTTCCATATACATGAATAGATTAAGGAGATGAAGCGATCATATAAGGAGACGTTCCCCATAAAATATATTATAATACCGAGTATGAAAGCTTCTCTCTTCTTTCATTTGAAAACTCTGTCTTTCTTAAATGAGTGTTCTTTGAGTGTGTCAAGGAAAAAAGTTATAAAGAGTGTGATCAGAGAGTCCTATGAGGCTGTGCTTGGCTTCCCTTCTCTCATTTTCTTATTGAATCCATGCTGTTATCTGTGTCCTTGTTGAGCGTATGTACTAGTCTTTTGCAACTCCTTCATTCATGTTTTAAACCATTTTGTTGAATAACCTTGTGGTGTTTTTACCCAATTGTTTTAATGTATGTATTCTGTATTAGTTTACAAAGTAAGCATTTGCATCACTCTTCCTTAAAAAACCTATTTACTCTAATTATAGTGATAGTAGTTAGGACTGGTTAACCAAGTCATCCCCATACGAAGCAAAAAAGAAAAGGGTTTTAAAAGGGTCAAGTCTAGAATAAATTCACTGTCTATAGTTAACCAAAAAAGGTCAACCATTAAGGTCTTGGATGAAGGTCTTGTTTCCATTTTCAATCTTGCGACAAAATTTAACTTGCCTGACATTATCTATCACACCCTTAAAACTTTAAGTTGAATGGCATCTTATGGCTTAGCAGGTTCTGGTTTTAGGGTTTTCTATGATGGGCTCAAGGATGAAGCCTGACCTTTTGCATGCTGCAATGTGTGAGACCGGCACAGCCAGCTTACATATTAATTTGATCCAAGCTAGGGCTGGGAACAGGTGTAGGTCCTGCTATTTTATGCTTTTCACTTGCGTCATTTTTTTGTCTTTTTTTTTTTCTTTGGGTTGTTCGGTAGTAGGATCCAAAATTGGGACATCTTGTTGCAGTGATGAACAACTTAATCAACCAAGTCAAACCTCGAAATCATATGTACTTCCATAGTTTAAAAATAATAAAAAGTACTCATAAGGGCTCAACGGGCTTGAAGGGCAAGGAAATGGCCTGATCCAAATTCCAATTGAGCTTGAGTGTTTAGAGCCGAGCCTAGGTCATGGGCCTAATATAGGAGCCCGAAACTTGTCAAAATTGGGCCAGGTTTGATCTCTACATTGCCACTCCTAGGAATATTCAAAATCCTAATCTATTCACTGATTTGGCATAATGACATTCTCTGAAACAGTTTTAGTAGCTCTCAAACTTGTAGGGCATTCAAAAGAGACTTCATGTACTTGTTTCAATTTGAGCTAGGGTACTGCAAGCACGGCAAAATTAGTGTAATTTAAGCATTGGGACAAAAGCAATAAACACATAAAGTTACCAAAGGGAGCATCCACCCTAATGAAGAAGATTGGCCTTCCATGTAATATTAGCCGAAAGAAAATTTTGATTACCATATATAATGATTTTGTTTACTTGATAATTGATTCAGGCTTTCCAAGTAGGTGGAAAACAAGTGGTTCTGTTAGACCTTATCGCTTATTATGTGTTAGATGCAATATTTGGGGGAATGTATTGTGTAAAAGAATATACTTTTTGCTCTGTTAATTGATATCTTGGTTATAGTGCATTAATACGTCTACAAAAGATTTAAGCTTTCAAATGTACCTTTTAGAGCCATGGTGTGTGTATGGTTCTTGCTGCATTAATTATCCAAAAGAGGAAGATTACGTAGTTAATCACGTCAAAAATCTTTACAAATATACAAATATTTCAAGGTTCCTAATATTTCAAGAACTAATACCAGTTTTGAGTTCAGACTCTCGATGAGGTGGCTAGCAGTAAGGTGTCACAATAGAATGCCACAAGGACACAAATCACCATGTCTATATTCTTAGGAGTGAGGTCTTTCAAAATAAGGAAAGCTTGTATAATTAGGTACGAAATTTTTTATTGATGAATCAAAAATCAAGAACAAATTTGACTACAGAATTAATACTATATCTTATTGGTTTGGCAATTTCAGAAGATTTGTCCATAGTGTCGACTTTTGTTCTAAACATATTTGTAGTTCTTGACTGATCATTGCTATGGTGGACATTCTTCTCTCTATAGTATTTCTCAATTAGTTTACTTGATTTGCCCATGTGACTCCCTTTTCATTAATTTAGTAGACAATATACTAACTCAACATTTCACTTTACAGCATATGATTCTTGTTTGGTCACTTCATAAAATTCTTCCGTATATATAATACCATCACAATGTGAAGATTATTCAAGACCTTAGTAATTCTTTGCTTGTTGGTCTTTAATTGTTTTGATCTTGCAATTTTTCATGGAATTAAGCCCATATGAGGCTTTGGTGTCTTATAGGTGGCTGAAGATTTTGGGAACTCATGCACAAGTTGCAATGTCACTTTCTCCTATAATGCTTTAACACACTTCCACTATTGTTGTTGACTTTAAAATTCCGTCTCAAACTTTCTCAAGTTTAACCCACACTGAAAATCTTCTCATATTGAAATTGTATAAAGCATGTTGGGATTCCAATATAATGAAAATGTGAAGTCACCATATCCTAATCCATTAGAATTACCAACGTATCTTGAAGGCCATTTTGGTTCTTTCCTAGCCCGACTAACAATAAATTGTAAACCATCCCTTATTCATTTCTATCACCCTTCAGTAGCTTTTTCTAGTTAGAATGGCTACTTGTGGCCCTTTATGTTTGTATGCTCGTATTATTTATTGTTGTCTTTTAGATCTATATAAAGAACTGCTTGAAGTTGTTATTCATGTTTTGTTGAGATTTCTTGTGGGCATCGATCTCAAACTAAGGTGACAAGAACCCACCTATGCAAATTTCATTGTTGTAGATTATGTTTGAGTTTGGGTTGGTTGAGATGTTCATTCGGTAATTTTGTTGTAGCTTCCCAGAGCATTTCTTGTGTTATTTTGACTTAGTATTTTGGTGCATCTATTTGATTATGACAAAGCAATAATTACCCTGATAGCATTTAGCTAAGCAACACGAACTTGGCCGGGTTATTAATGGTATCATATTGCAAATTTATCCTTATGCCTTTCACTCTGCACATTAAATGGCCAGGATTTTTTGTCCTCAAAATAATGGGTCTCGATTTAAACTGCCAAGCTGCCTTAAGTTAGAAATCTTTCTATTTCATTTACTAAAGAGTCATATTAGTCTTACGTGGACTTACCTTTAGTAACCTTGAAAGCAATCACTTCACTCGTCTTTGCTATTGAAACCCGCAAGCGGTTACTTCTAACCATTATACAAATAGTACAAAATGTTAAGGTTAATTTTGACATTTGTATGTAAGAGACAGGTGTGTTTAATGTGTATCCAACACCAACATTGTATGTATGAACTGGAACCCATAAATCTTTCCTATAAAAGGACTTCCCTTCTTCCTTCCTCATCGCTCTATCCAGTTAAATGGCCATAACACTAACTTCTTCCTGTTATCGCTTTTGACCTGGTCCTAATCTTTCAAACTACTTATTCTCCCGTGCTTTTGCTTTGCCTTTGCTTAGTCTTAATACTTAGAATCTTTGTTAATTTTTCATTTGGTCTCCTTTTTTGTGTGGTGGGACAATCGTGGGATGCTAGTGTTGCCACTCTCAATACTGGGACCCATCAAGCCCACCCTGAATTCTCAGTCACAGTTATTTCTGTTGAGTTTTCCAAGTTTCAATGTTCTTTTTCTCATCATCTGGCTGTCTTTGTGCTTTACTCATGCTTCATTTGATCTTTTGAAGTTTTGAGTTGCTTTGATTTTATCAATACTGTAGAACCCAGGTCTCACAAGCACACTTCGAATTTTAGAGATCTCAAGCTTTGCAAGCAGATTGTGTGCTTTAACAGGTGTTTATCACTGTGCTCTAGTGGCTGGTTATGTGGAGTCTACTTGCATACTGCTTAGTTTGAAGGTAGCAAGTCTTCTGGAATTAAATTAAATACCTCTTCTGTGTGTTATAGAGTGGTTAGATTTTGTAAACTACCCGGGCTCCCATATAGTAAATGAAGAAGCAAGCAGGAATAGGCGGTATCGGAAAATAGAGGTGTGGGGTTTGGTGTTTGTAGATCGACATGCATATCCAGCAAGGGTGATTTGTGGGATCGTCGGTCAAAAATTATCTCTGAGGATAAGAAACAATCACTGGAACACAATTCGAGAATGTGTGTGCATGAGGCATGTGAACAATCTTATTTGTATGCATATCCAGCAAGGGTGATTTGTGGGATCGTCGGTCAAAACTTATGTATA